AAAATCCATAAAGCCTCATCATTTCAGTCCTGATGTCAGCAAAAGTCCATTAAAGGTTACTAGAGATAACAATATATCTATATTAACCTTGATCAAATAAATCAACTTCATATCCCTTCCTTTTAATTCTAACAATCTTGATCTTTAGTACCTTCAAATAATGTCATAGAATTTATTTCTTTTAATTTTTCTTTGTCCCTTCTCACAAAAGTCTTCAAAACTTTAGCAAGCCTCTTTTGTAAATTCAGTATAGGAAAATTATACAGGTTACTCTCTTGGTTTGTTATTTGTATGTCCCTTTTAATTATTAAGACATCAACTAGTTTCTTTTGTATGTCCAGTGTAACATCTTTTTGCATGTTATTCTTGTAGCCTGTCATTTTAAAATCCATTTTCAAATCAATCTTGATCTTGTCAGGTGAAACGTGTTCCTCTTCCATAGCATCTTTTAAACACAGTCTGTCTATAGAGGCAGACACTCTTTAAATTAACTTCTGGGTTCATTGTTCGAAAATATCCTTCAATATGTCCAATGTTAAAATATTTTGCTTCATTCTGTAATTGTTGAATTTGAGTGTTCTTCTTTAATGGTAATCTTTAGTTCTTTCTAGTTCTCTCTCGTGTCCAATTTTAAAGTCTTATTTTTTTTTAATTCAGAACATAAACATTTTCCCATGGGAATAATTCTTTATAATTAATTTCAAAATCTTATTTCTAATTTATCTGGACCTTTAGTTTGTTTGTAACTTACTAAAATCAAAGTTTTATTCACCCTTTTGCTGTTTATTCCAAAAAAAAATTTTTTTTAAGCTCTTAAACTTGTAGTTAAAACTTCTTTCGCTAAGGAAGGAAACTCACCTGGTGCTATAAAACCTGTTGATCCAAAGGTTCCTAATAGCTGAAACGCAGTGAACAAGCAATTTCCAAAAGTGATTAGAAAAGGAAGTATGTAAACGTAGTGTCCTTTCAAAGGTGCTGACCACAGTTTGAGAAAGATGGTTATCCCCTCGTCTTCCAGAGCTCTAAATCCACTGGAATCTGTTATCTTGTGATCTCAAGTCCTCTCCTTGCCCAGAGATCTCAAGTCTTCTCCTTGTCCAGAGAGGAATTATTGAAGAGCCAGTCAACTCTTTGGCTCTTCATTCTGTTCTGGTTGTTGGCTCTGCTTTTTTCATAGCCGTCTTCAGTCCTCTATTTCTTCCCCAGAAGTCCAAAGCTTTATGTGGTCTAGGGCTGCAAGAGTTGTGGCTAGTGATGTCATCATGATGATATTAGAATGGGCAGGGCTGAATGTTTGGGCCTTTTTGTGGTATGTGTTTAGGATTTTTAGAGTTCTAAGGCAAAAAACAGGTGACTTGCCTTTAATCCTTGCTGAGGGTTAAGGTACCCATTTTACACTTTAGCTCCCAGAACAGGAAAAATTACCCTGATTTTGAGTGGGGTTCAGCATTTTTAAGCCCTCACTGAAATCCCATTCTCCATGCAAAAAAAGTCTCTGATTACTCCAGGGGCTCTAGGACTCAAACAAAATACTGTGAGGAGCATGTGACTACTGTGGGATGCACTATTCTAATCTATGTATGAGTCTTCTCCTGAAAAATAAGGTAGACCAAATGCCAAAGAATGAAGGGGCCTTCTCAGTTATGGGCTATCTACCCATTTTAATGGCAAAGCTATTTTGATTTTCTAAAACCTTTTACTTAGGTTGTAATTCTAACATAGTTTTAGTTTGGTGAATTATACTCTTTGTTCTATTCTGTTCTTTTTTTAGTGATGCAATTTAATGTTCTGCTCAGCTTCGTTCTTTGCCTTTGCTTTTTAATTTCTTTATCACACTATAAGCATCATGGAGAACATTAAAAACAACCTACTGTGTTAAATATAATCTAAATAACTAAATCTCAAGTTGTAGATGATTTGTGGAGTTCAACACTCCATAAAAAGTCTCTCATTCTTATCAGTAATGAGAAAGATCTTCCTCCATAATTCATTGGGAAGGGTCACTAATAGAAGACTCTCAGATTTTGGCTCCAGGAACTTGTGAAGAAAAGAATTTAATGGAAATGTGAGCATATGTTCTGATGTTATTAGAACAATTGTTAAATATATTTCACCTTATAAAAGTGGCTGCAGTTGAAAGTTATTTGAAATATGACAGGTCACAAGAGAATGTTTTCATCTGTTATACTGCCTACAACCTATTTTCTGAATTGTAGGAAGACTTCAAACATGTGCATTCTAAAGAAGTCATCCAGTCAAATATTCTCTTTGTGACTTTATGCCCATTTACCACTTAATGTCCAAAGCTTTCCTCTGTGCTACTGTTGATATCAATGGAAAGGTTGAAACTCTCCTTGTTTTTTCATTCCAACCCTCCCCTTATAGTTGGATGGTGAATGTTACTGCAAACCTAATGTTTGTGGAGGCTCTTGTGATACTTGTGAAGTTGGTTATTATGGCCTGGAAATCAAGAATTATTTTGGGTGTCAAGGTACAGTATGGTTTATTGATAGCAAAGCTTTGATACAGGATAATGGATTTCTGAAAAGATTGTTTATACATTATTGCTACATAACAGCTTTGCCACAAACATTTTGGAATGTTTCTTACAAGTGTACAACTTTGAACTTCTGAGTAAAACCTAGGAGGTTTCATCTGCCTCAGTAAACTTCAGTTATGATAGTTAATGGGTATTTCAAGAGAGACAATATAGAACAAACAACAAACAAAGTTGTAATTCATAGCCTTTTGCTACAATTTCATATAATCAAACTCATTTATAATTGTAGTTTTTCATAAATATTTTGCTTAAATAATATTTTAAAATAGATGGCCAACATAATAAATATTCAATCTTTTGCAAAATGTTTTAAATTTTAGTATAAGAACCAGTTAGAAGATGGTCTCTTCTTCAGTAGTAGCCCTCAAGAAAAGGTGGACAGACCTCTGTTGGAAGTGCTGTATGATCCAGACTCCTTACAGATGAGATAGTCTTTAATGCTCTTTCTCATTCTGTGATTGAAAAATACTTTGTTCATCTCTCTTTCTCTAGAAACCTACAGTACTTCTTGTAGTGTGTTGTATTTGTTCTCTGATCAAAAGTTGATTTGATTCTATTTTTCACTTGCAGGATGCCAGTGTAATGTGGGAGGGTCCGTAAGCCATGTCTGCAATGACCTATCAGGTGACTGCCAATGCAGACAGCACATAGTTGGGAAAACTTGCAAAGAGTAAGTAAGATGGGAAGGCTTGTTTTGCAGTCATCTTTCCTCAGTTATGGAAAACATAGGAAAATCGCAAGCTACCTATGTTTTCCTCATACTGCAAAGAACCCACAAGGATTAAGGAAAGAAAAACAGAATAACTACAAAGTGTCTTTTGTTAGGCACTATTAGGCATTATCTGTCTGGAAGCAATCTTCATGATCTAGTGTGAAGTAAGCTGCTGGTTACATTTCAAATTACAATATTTAAATAGCCTCTACCACTCCCTAGAGGGATTCATGGAGCTGCACCCCAGTTGTGGAATTCCACCCAACAAGCTGCCCATTCGCTCCTTTCTTTTTAATTTTGCCTTTGGTGAAGTCAGTTTTGTTTAAGTCTGTGTTTAATGCTAATTCTGATAGTTTGCCTGTTAGTGCTGTGCTATTTCTCTTTGCTATTTTTATATTAATCTATGTACTATAAAAATATTATCTATATGTTATAGCATGATTTGAATTTTTGGATTATTTTGAAGTCTATTTTTTAGAGGCAAAGCAGGAAATAAGGTACTTAAATAAATAAGAAAATATATTGTTGATGTTAGCTAAATGAAAGCTTCATGCAAAGTGTACTTAGCTAAGGATCCTATGAGCAGGAGGCAGGTTATTGTCTTAAATGCAGATTTTCCAATGGCATTATGAAAAACAGGATGGTGGACTAGATAAATATTTGACCCAGTAGAGCAATATTTGTAGTCTTAAGTTTATGTTAATATATAACACATTAATGTTCATAAAGAAAGCAAGGAATTGTTATTATCTCATTTCTGAAAGGCCTGAAAAGAATTACTACTTACCTGATTTACATCACATGAAGTTTGAAATTGAGGATGGTACATCTCCTAGTGGAAGAGGAGTCCGGTTTGGTTATGATCCTCAAGAATTTCCTGGCTTTAGTTGGAGAGGTTATGTGCAGATGTCTTCAATACAGGCATGTACTTTATTTCTGTCCAGATACGTTGTATAAATTAATCTTGGTCTGACTGGATCATCTCTTTAATTCTGCTTAAAATTTTCACAGATTTTAATTCCTTTCTTTAGATCAGCATACTCCCTGTCTAGATGTGTTGGATCATGACACCTATCATCCCTAGCAAAGATAGGAAAGATGATAGTTGTGATCTAACACATTTGAAATGGACGTTAGGAAAAACTTTTTTAGGTGGTGAAAGATGAGATGGAGAATAGAGCAACCTTTAATAAAATTTGGTTTGTTCATTACACTGTCTGCAGAAAGATCTAAGTGATGATTCCGTCTAATTTTTCCAGCAGTAACTAAGATATCCTAGAACAGCAGACTGATATATACCTAAAACGTTTTCACAACAATTATGTGCTTGGGCTTTATATAAGCGATGGGATCACATGGTTCTTCTATAGCCATGTAAAAACATTTCACGTGACTTTTTCTGAGCAGCAGTGTTAGCGAATTAACAGAATGGCAGTGTTTTTCAACCCACTAAGAGTGGTAGTGTGTTACAAAACCCAATTTTTTATATGAAAAAAAAATATGGGTACCATCTTAATACAAAAAGAAGAGGAAGATCTTCAGAAATTAGATTTACTATAGCTTTTGATTAGTTAATCAAATTCCTTTTAACAATGTTTGTTTATTTAGCTTTGAGATTGATTAGAACTCCATGTTTGCCCCAACACCAATTAAAATGTAATTTATATATGTAGTTAAAGCTGAAAGCAGCTTGTTGGGAATAATGAGAATTATTCTTGGCTAATTTCTGTGACATTGATTTATGAGACATGTGACTGTAGCCCATCTACTTCTACTGTACTTGCGAACATCACATTTGAAAGTAAGGATAGTAAGGTAGTATGATTAGCTTCTGAGGGAGGAATGGAGGTCATGCTCTGTTTCCCCCATGAATATATCTCAATCAAATTTTTATTACAGTCATAGACCAGCATAGTGAATATATCTGTTCTTCTCTTTCCACCTTGACAACTGTATTTGGGAGGAAAACAAACATTAAGTTTGATTTATGCCATTGTAGACTCAGAATGGTGGTAACAGATGATATAAGAAAGAGTTAATATATTTTAAAAAGGATGATTTTGAAAAAAATGATTGTTTTCAAACAGTTGTAAGAAAAGGAGTAATGTATGGAACTCTTTCCAACTCTTTCCCCCTGCATTGTTAACATTAAGTTGGATTCTCTTGATAGCAAGCTACAAAACAATGTTAATATATTAAAGGGGGAAACATCCTACTTTTCAAATATCTCATATAAAATTGGTCAGAGAACAGCCATAATACAAGGCATATAATACTTGATTGTTGGAATGCAACTTTTCACCAGATTAATATCAAAGTTAATTGAATAACACTACCTGACACCACAGTCCCTCACAGATTAAGTGGGCAATCATACCAGAAATTAAGACCCCTGAATTCAGTGGGGCTTACTCCCAGATAGATGAATATAAGGACACAGCCTTGGAGTGAGCATTATGCTATTGACAAATAAGGCGTCATGCTAGATTCATCAACTTATATACTCGATAGCTATCATTTAGTACTGGAGGTCTTTGTGAATGTTGTATCCCCTTTGGACCTACAATAAAGTTTATAAGTAGTGTCTGCATTTTCTAATGTTTCTAGATGTTTTCTGTCTTTCGGTGGTAGTTTTAAGTAATTTGCTTTCCTTTCCTCTTCTTTGCTTCTTATTTTCCCAGCCAGAGGTGGTAGTTCCTGTCACTGTGGCTTCTTCTAAGCTCTTCCATATAGTACTGCACTATGTCAGCTTGGTTTCAAAACACTCTAAAGGGAAGATCTCAGTTGCTGAGGGAAAGCATTTTGACCCTAATAACGCTTGTAAGTGAATTATATTTCTTGCTAGGTTTGCCTGTCTTCTCTCTTACTTAATGCAGAAAAGGCTTCTTTCTCTATGTATTCAGCTGCATGTGTGTATCTATTTAGAGAGAGAGAGAGAGAGGGTTTGTTTTTCCTTATAGATATTGAACATTTTGCTTGCATGGCTTATCCTTTTGGCACTTTATGGCTGTCTGTCTTTTTCTTGTTTTATTAACTTCCATTTTACAGAATGAAGTCAGGATAACTTTGAGTGTGAAGAAACCAAAACCCTATTTATTTCATGTTATCTTGAGGTATATAAATCCTGGAACTGCAATAGTATCTGGCCACATAACCGCTTATCAATCTCGGACCTTAAAAGGTAGGTGAGCAGGATGGATGCAGAACTCAGCAAATGACTGAAGTTCAGTGCAGTTCAGAGTGTCATTTAACAAGGCTTGTTTACATGATCCAGTGAGTTTTGCGCAGTTTGTAGTTTCTCACTCAGAGCTTGATCTTTCCATCTTTCATTCTGGGCAGGACTGTGATGGATGTTGTGACAGCCATGCTATTTTTTTTTTGGCATGCATGTTCTTTGGTATTTTTTTCCCACATGTAGGCAGTGCTTGTTCAACATGCTTAATCTGTTCTCTTAAAAACCAGGAGTTGCTTGCTTTTGTATAACATTGTATGCTTCGTTGATGGTAATTGTCCATTTGTGTGTGCGTGCATTTGAATTAATATGCTGTGCCAATCCAGCCTATTTACTTAGTTCAATATATTATGTAACCTCAGAAAATTGGGATCATTCTGTTATTGGTTTAAATGTGCTGTGTGATCCCAGTGATGTGTGTGTTCTAAGTGTTTTAAATCACAAGTTCCTTTGACTGAAGATATTTGAAAACTCACATAACAATATTCTAATGAAGCACATGATTTTTAGGCGATAAATTGAATTGGCATCCTGACTCAGTTCAAGATAGATTCCGTGCATCCCCACTATACCTATGGGTGATCTGTGTGCCCTTTTTTATGGCTGCAGAAGTGACATATAAGTCCATAGTGGCAGAAATATCCTACAGTATTTGGTCCTAAATGTGGAACAAATTGTTTTCCTTACTCTGGGTGTAAGCAGGGTCAGGCTAAAGAAAAGCATAAAGCCCCCGGCAACTCAGATGTCTTGCTCTTCCTTTAAAAAAAACAAACAAACACTTTAGTTATCTTTGAACAAGTGATCATGTAAACAAGCCCTATAACCCAGCTAATTAAACAATTTTCAGTTGCTGTACTTTTCTAGTATCCTTTGTTGTCACAAAGGATGCCGACTTGCATGTCATGCTCATGGCCTTCATAATCCATATTTCTCTCTGCTTGCCATTATTCAATCTTTAGTACTGACAGATGTTTCCTCAGGTGCTTTCAGAGACAGTGATTTTGGCAGACTTGCTTTTGGCTTTAATCATGTATATTTAAAAGGTACCATCTCCAGCCTCAATATAGCAAGCTGTGTTATTTAACAGAGAGATTAGGACTTGAAATATGGGCCCGTTGTCTAAGAGGTAATACAGTGTGAATACTACATATACTGGAATTTGGCTAGATCAGTGTTTCTCAAACTTGGCAACTTTAAGATTTGTGGACTTCAACTCCCAGAATTCCCTAGCCAGCATGTTGCCAAGTTTGACAAGTTTGAGAAACATTGGGCTAGATGAATTATAAATATTTAAAACTGTAGTCTGTGAGTGCTGCTAAGAGACATTGGAAAATATATCTATTACACAGGTATAGTTGATGGACATCTTGTATTGCTGACAACTCCCTTGAGCATCCATTCATTGGCAAATTTAAGTTGGTTGCCATGAAATGGGTAAAGTTTGCTTTTGAGGAGCTTCATGGTTAAATTTAGGATTCTTTTTGTTTGAATGCCATAAGCAGCAAAATGTTTTGAATTTACCTGAGAATAAAATAATTGTCTCCATGTTCTTGTCTAACTTTGTTTCCTGACTTTATGTGCCCAACTCAGTCTGGTACTTACTGTATATCCCAGCGTCCAACATATTTCACACAACGTTCATATAGAAACTATACTTTAATCTTTGCTTAGAAACCAGGATTTGATCTGTAAGCAGAGATTAACCACAGTTTCTCAGTTCAGATATCACAGAAAATTCCAGCTTTAATAAGGTAAGATGTAAGCTCCAAAGCTGGGTACATAAATATGGATAAATATGGATAAAATATGGACACATGGCTTGTTCTGTTCTTTTAAGTCACACTTTATTGATCTAAAATCATTGCATCAGAATCAAGCTGTAGATTCTCCAGGGAGTGGTATCCATGCTGGCAAATCCGGTGTGAACAATGAACTCCTGTCCTTTTCTTAGGCTTTTCATTGGCTGACCATCTAATTTGAATTAAGAAATGTTATTGTTGAATGAATAATCTTCAGTAAATTATTAATTTAATTATTTTCCATCAGGGACTCATCAGAGCAAAGACATTTTCTTCCCACTCAGTAGAGAGCCAGCTTTTGTAACTGTTCCAGGAAAAAGTTTTGCAGATTCGTTTTTATTGGGACCTGGAACCTGGATGTTTAAAATCATAGTGGAGGGTGTCCTTCTGGTAAGAAAAAGATCTATCATAAATAATGTTTATATTTTGGGAAATAATTCTCTTCTGGAGTGCTCCCAAACAAATAAAATGGAAATGTCTGTTAAGAAAGTTAAATCTCACACTGGAATAAAGAATGAGCCAGTCACGTGCTTCAAGAGCTGGTACTAGAATCTGAATTATACTCAAGATTCATTCCTGTAGAGGCAGTAGGAGTCTAGTGGATCCTGAATACAGGATTGTGCTTTTGAACCACAATTCCACATAGGATTACATGGGAATCTGTTTCAGTATGAGGAGATTACATCTTGGTTGATACCTATTATATGATATGTGAATGGTATTATTAATCCTGAGTGGACTCTGGACTGAACCTTGTTTGCAAATGTATATTATAGCCTTCTCCAAGTTGAGTGTTCCCAGATGTGTGGACTTTTACTCCCAGTTCCCTAGCCAACATCTCTATTGCTGATAATTCTGGGAATTGAAGTTCACATATCTGGAGTATGCACAGGCTGGAAAAAGCTGGTTTATTAGATAACTCTGTTGAAACATTCATGTAATAGATGTATGGACATTAATATGCTTATGCTAGTATTGTTTTGTCATCCCAGGATTACTTAGTCCTCTTACCAAGTGACTACTATGAAGCATCCATCTTGCAATTTCCAGTTGTACAGCCTTGCACATATTCAGGATATGTCACAACAGATAAGTTAGTATCTCAGGGACATTAATGGATCTTTTGTTGTGGTTGTCTAAAAGTTATGTTGATGTTCCAGTTAAACACTTTCTTCTTTTTCTTTTCAAGTTGTTTACAATATGAATACTTGCCACTAGACAAATATTACTGTGTTCTTGGTACAGAAGTAACATTTTTCTTGCACGGAGGAGAATACAGGAAAATAAACTTCCAACAGCCAACAGCCAAACATCCAGTGATGTCTCATATCAGTGGTCGAGAGGTAAGATATCCTTATAGGACAAAATTGGTCACATAGCGCCTACCTCCTGGCAGTCTATATAATTGAAAACACTACAGGATATATATATTGTATAAAATAGATAAATTTCTTCCTCTCTCCAAGGGGTGTGTGTGTGTAGAAGTCATATAAAACCCCCAAAAAGAGACATGACTAAATTTAGCATCAGTATTTCCCTGCTCTGAGTGCTTAGGGAAGATGGACTGTATATACCATTCTGTAACTTTGCCACAGCATGTGCCAGATTGATACATTTTAGTTCTGCTTATCTTCTTTCTGGATCCATGGGCACATTGAGAATTTTGGGGGCATGTTGTGGGTGCTCTCACAAAACTATGGCCAACAGGGAGTTTCTCTTATGGCTGCCAGGGGAGATGTGAATAATCATGAAGTGCTTTTTTATTAGAAGGCAGACTGATGTGGTTGCCTTACCTCTATTTGCTTATGCTTCAGGATATCCCAACCACTCTGCTTCTCTTCTCTTTTTCTGGGCAGGTTGGTGGACCAGTGGATGCAGCCATCCGCCATCTTTGTTTTCTAAAGATCCATACACTACCCATGTAAGCCCTAGAGGCATTCTGAAATACTGTATGAAGATGACACTGAATGCTGGAGTTTTGTCTTATAGCACACTACTTCTCATTTAATTAAAAATCTAATTAAAAGAAAACAGGTGGGGTAGGGAGACTAGCTAATGCCACAAGAGATATCTGCAGGGACATGGACACCATGTTGGAGACTCAAAGTGTAAAGAAAGTATTAACTCTGGGGGATGCAGAGGACAATAGTTATTATTTTCCTAGCAAAAAAAGCATTGACAGGTTTACTTCCCTATTACCTGGGATTTAGTCTGAGGGTTCAGGTGGTATTTGCTAAAGTTAAGCAAGCGTTAATACCTGGAAGGGAAACTGCTTGGCAACTGATCTGTATAGCCTTATATTGCTCTCCTTTGCTTTAAAACCCTATGTGGTTGTTTAGTGTATGAAAGAGGATAGTATCCCTCCATTACTCTGATAACATCCAAGCATGACTTGAATCTTCTTTAGGTGAATCTACAGATCAAACTGAAGGTTCCCCAAGTTGGCCGCTATGTAATCATCTTTGAGTATGTCACAGATCATGACCAAATGTATGTTGGTAATGTAAAGACTGAGAGTCTTGGGCAAGTGATGGAGGCTAAAATTAACATATACAGCTGCAAATATAGGTGAGAAAAATATAATGAGTTTAATCTAAGTATATCTGTCTTTTCTTACTTCTTTCCTGGGGCCCTTAGTTTCCAATGCATTCCTTTTCTTTGTCTCCTTTGCTTTACTTTATCAAAATAACACTCAACTGTTAATAATGTGTATGTTCTTCAGCCTCTTTTTTTTTCTCAAATCTTCTCCTCCTCTGCTTTCAAGAAAACAGTTATACTTTCTTTGTCATGCAGTTAGATATATCCTGTTAATTAAGTGATTTTTTTCTTGTATAACTGAAGTGTGGATGATATATAAAAGAATATATCTGTTACACTGAAATGAATATAGGACTATTTTAAAATATATCATATTAAATATCTTCAGAAAACCTAAGCCAAGAGTGGGCAGAAGATGTTTCAGATTCTGCTTCTGGATATTATCATATTTGTATCCCTCTTTATTGGGATGATTTCCAGGGGAATGGAAAGCATTTTGACTGCTGTGCTATTATTGAAGTATAGCAACAATTTGAACATTTCTTTGTAAGGTCATTCAAGAAGACTTGGAAGTGAAACCAGGAGTAGAATTATTGGGGGAGGTGTTGTATAAAAGCACTGTTCCTGGAATAAGTATGTGTACATGCTTAAAAGCACTTTTTTCATTAAGTTTTAACATACATCTGCAACACTAACTCCTATACCGTGGAGTTAGTGGCTAGACTTCCATTGCATTCCACACAGTCCTAAAATCTGTCCACGCTGGTCGAGACTCTGTTCAAGTCAATATTGTGTTAACATTTTTTTGGTCATATTTTGCAAGTGCAGTGTATTTGTAGATTAGCCTTATATATCAGGTCGTTCACAGGCAGAGAAGAACAAACAGAATGGCAGAACTGAAACCTATAATGTACACGTATTGTATTGATTGAAAGTAGTGATGTTTTCCAATTCATGCTGGTCTTCTTTGTTTAATTTAAAAGTGATAAATGTAATTCATACATTTGGTGATGATTTTGTAGAGAAGGAATTCAAGGCAGAAAGAAAGGCAAAAACCTTATTTGGGGTTGGAGGATATTAGTACCTAGCTATTGACTACTTTTAAAACCTGTTCCAGCTTCCTGTGTCGCAGTGTTGTGATCGATGATATGGCTCGTGTTGCAGTTTATGACTTTTTGGCTGATGCAACATTACATCTCAAATCATCAGCCATAGATTTTCTACTGGTAAGTTTCTAATATTTTCCTAAAAAAATATCAAGAAAATATGCAACTATTTTATATAGGAAATATAGGATGCTATCTTGTTCCAGCTCAACCCAGTTTTCCTTCTGGCTCTGTATATCAGGCGCTCTGAGTTCCAACAGCTTCCCAGGGTCTCTGGCAAAATCCATTCTCATTGTCTTTTTAACTGATATGCTCTGTCATTAGATTAAATTGTCATAATTAAGGGAATACTGCAAGGTGCTAATGAATGCTTATCTATAAGCCATCTATATCTTTTCAATGCCTTTTGCATGCCTATATTTTATCTTGTTATGAAGCCAAAATCATCTTGTAGGGAATTTTGGCTTTTCCCAAGGAATATTTAAATTCTCCATATTGTCAAGAGTTCAGGTCTCAACAATTTGGCATTAATTTTTACTACCCTGGATAGATTCCATATTTATCATTTTGGTCTGAGGCCCAAGACAATAAGATTTAAGGCAAAATCCTCTTCTGAGACCCTCTATCTGGATCAGAAGGCATCTAGTTGGCACAGAAGCACTGTGTGATATGGAATGCTGAATTAGATAAATCCCTGATCTAGCAGGACTCTCATGTTTTTTAGCTCATACATGGGCAATCCATGAAGGTTGCATGGAAGACCAAGTCAATTTTTGTTTGTTTGCTCGTTACAAGTTATTTTATGCTGTTCCAGTTTAAAACAACTGAATCTAAGCAGCTTAAAAAAGCAGTATACAATAAAGTATAACGTACATATAATATTAATCAATATTGCATTAAAATCTTAATAACAACAGTATTAGCAGAACCCACATATGTCCTAATATATGAATACTCCATGTCTCAGTCCTCAAATGTTAAATAGTCACATTTTCATTAATTTCTAAATATTGACAGTGAGATTGCTGTTCTTATTTCTAGAGGGATCTATTTCCACAGGAGGGGAACTCCAGTATGCAATATGCAGAACACTTCCTTCTGAGTCCCCTCCCTCCATATCTTTTGGGAGTGGGGACTCCTAGCATAATTTGTCCACTGTGATGCCTTGGGCAGGCAGTTTCTACTTGGAGTAAGTGGTTCCATTGATATCCAGGCCACAAGTCATGTACAACTTTATAAATTAATCCTCTGCACCTTGAGTTGCTATTATTATAACTACTGAATTACCACTCATTCTGAATGTCCATGTTCACCATGGTCTGTAGAAAATTACAGTCCCACTTGTGAAATAATTCTTTTGAGATTTGTGGGGTCTGCAGGTGTGATGGAAAAAGATGTTGGGTGTGATAACATATCTCCACATGTAATGCTCATCATCACAATCAAACTGTCACAATTTTGTAGGTGTATGTGAATGGAGGAGGTAAAAAAGACAATGGCTTCATCTCTGCCCACTATTGGCTAACCAGCAGCAGCCATACACATTACTATCAGCCTGTCCTTCCTGGAGCTCTTGTAAGATGCAGAAGTATCTTTCTGTGTTTCAGGTAGAAGCTTTGGGTAGATCTGCATTTGGATTTCAAAAAGCTGCGGCTGGTTCTTCTTTATTTTAATTCTCTTGAGCTGCATACTAAAAGGCAGGCTAGGTAGATAGATGATTTCCCAAGCAAGTGATTGAATGTAGAATTACCATTTGTCCAGTAACGTTTTCCATAATAAGTCTGGTTTTTAGACTCTGAACACCTCATTCAGGCAGGAATCTAGGATAAGCTAAAATGCCTGCTTTTTTGTTTTTAAAACTCTCCTATAGCTATACCCAGCGGTCATGATCCTATCTAACTTTTCTCCTTTACTGCCTGCCTGTCTGCCTTTACATCATTCTGTCCATCGTTAGTTCTGCTCCCTACCCAGAATCCAGCTCTTTCTACACTCCCAGCCAAAAGCCCTTTCTCCTCCTCCCAACTTTAGTTGTTTTTGTTAGTATTACTACAGGGGATTGAATTCAGGAGGAGTGTAATGTGAAATATGAATGTAAATATAAATGTATATGACTATATGTTGGAATGTTGTATTCTGTCTGCACATAGGAGAGTACAGGTAGTCCACGTTCAGCGATCGTTCAAAGTTACAATGGCGCTGAACAAGGACTTACAACTGGTCCTCATAGTTGCAGCCATCGCAGTCATGTGATTGCAATTCAGGTGCTTGGCAACTGGCTCACAATTATGCTATTGCAGCATCCCAAAGTCATGTGATCACCATGTGCGACCTTCACTGCCAGCTTCCAACAAGCAAAGTCAATGGGGAAGCCAACAGGAGGTCACAAATGGCAGTCACATGATGTTTTGCCTAATGACTATGTGGGATTCGCCTAACAATGGCAACTGGAACTGCTGGAACTGCCACTGTAGGTCAGCATGGTCACGTGACATCGTACTTTATGACCACATCGCTTAATGACAGAGTTGCCAGTCCCAGTTATCGTCATTAACTGAGAACTACCTCTATATAGGTATGTGATTGTGTGTGTATGTTTATGAATGTAGAAGACAAATCAGAGAGATTTGTCAGTTTCAGATCCTCACTTGACCATGTAATTTGATGAGTAGCTTTGGGCCAGCTCTCTTTCTCAGCTTTCCTAAGGAGACTGCATGTGAGCCCCCTTGAGCTCTCAGAGGAAAGGCAAGCTGTAAATGCAAAAATAAATATTTTTCCTGGTGTGACGCAGTACACTAGATAAAACAATAACTTTTCTAGAGTTTCCTCTGTTTGGAAGATTCAGATATGGTAGAGTTTTATTCTAAGATCTTTACTGCCACCTTTTGGGTACATAAAGATTTAATCTTTCTGTGTCTTCCTTCTCTCCTTAATAAAGGCAAATGAGCTAAGACAGTACAGTGAGTAAATGTCAGCCAAGTTAATCCCATGTAATGAGCAGCTCTCTACCCACCATGTTGCCCTCATAGCTGACTCACAAATCCTTCTAATGAAGGCAAAAATCTCCTGTAGGGAAAGCCTTGCAGCTGACAAGTCCTTTGCTCACAAGTCTCCACAAACTGCGTTATCTTTTAGCAGAATAGAGTGCTTTCTTGCCTTCACTTTTTCTAGAAGCATAAATAGAAGTTTAAATAGCACGCAGCCCCCATTTCACATGCTGCTATTACCTGGTAAAGAGGAAAAAATTAATAGGCACATTGTCTTTCTTTCCTTAGCACAAAATTTGCGTTATTCCAAAGGAGGACTTTTCACTGGACTATGTGGAGCCTCAAGTTTATTGCATTGCAACATATAGCCATGGTTCAAGGTAAAATACTTCCTTCCCTTTTGCTTTCCACAAAAGAGAACTTTTAAGACTTAGCAACATTAATATTCTCAGTTTGCTCAGTGTTTTGGGACTACTTACAATGCCCATCATGCAACACAGCTGTCACTCCATTACTCTAACATAAGAAACATTGGTTGAAGAAGTCATACTTTTTTTAACCTTAAGAGCAGCTGATGCCTCCCCCTTATATGTAGATAATGCAATTTTGGCTATCAAAGGATTCACATTCAGGGAATAATTTTGCTATTTGAGCCTAGCAATAGGTAAAACTTTTGGATGTGTTCTAAATGTTGACTGTACAGCTGAACCTTGAGTTAATCCAATTTTCCTGATTTACACAACACACTGAACTGGTAACTAACTACTTGGCAAGGATTAGCACAACATGCTAGGGTAATTTTTTTTAGATTGTTTTTATCCTGCCTTTATTACAGTATTTTTATAAATAACTCAAGGTAGCGAATGTAGCTAATACTCCTTCCTCCTAGTGTTTTCCTCACAACAACACCCTGTGAGGTGAGTTGGGCTGAGAGAGAGCAACTGGCCCAAAGTCACCCAGTTGACTTTCATGCCTAATGCGGGACTAGAACTCACAGTCTCCTCCTTTCTAGCCTGGTGCCTTAACCACTAGACCAAACTGGCTCTTTAAATGTTAGGCTGGTTTGCAGCTTGGTTTGTTGTGGGAACAGAGTCATTGACTTCACAGTTTGTATTTTGTAGTGTGTCTTATTCTCTTCAGTGAGCATTTTTAAAGCATGCCATATTTGACATTTATCTGGCATTTTTGTGCCTTTAAAGTGCATCCTGTATACCCTTGCAATATGAAATGCCTCTTGGAGCTGTGGTTTTGGATGCTCGCAGGAACGGCAAAGTTGTAGAGGGGTCAAGACATGTGGTCTCCTGGGATTCATTGAGTTCTCCTTTACCATCTCTTCACTCAGCTAATGGTGTGACTCTGGCTTCCTCACAGGTAATTGCCTTTTGAATTAAAGGTAGAAAACAATCCAGTATGGGCTTTATGCCTATGGTTTGTAAATGTTAATCTTACTTGCTATGGAGTTGAATGCTTGAAGTTCTTTGGGTACTTCCCTTAACTGATTTGCAAGAAACTGATGTCTAGTAAAGAGCTCTTTCTTGATTTAATAGCTTAGCTGTTGCCAGGATGACTCTTGAAGCTCAAACTCCATTTGGCTATTTTTATAGATATTGTGATTTTTGTATATGATTAAAGTTGGCCATTTTATCATGTGAGGGTGGGGATACATGCCTCCTAATTTTCTGTATCCAGTGTTCAAACTCTGGTGAGCTTCTGCTTATATCATTAGAAAGTGAGTATGCATAGCGTACATACAATTCCCACCTTCATAACTCAGGTCAAAACCAAAACTGAGATTGATGGCCCCCACTGCTGTTGTTTAGAAGAGCTGGAAGACCTGGCTCATCACCCAGTGAGGGAGAGTGAGACCCCTCACTTCATTGCACTTGCTGTCTTTTATCTTTAATGTTTTATTGATTTTACTGTAATTTCTTTGAAGGTTGTAAGCTGCCCAGAGTTGTTGAGTCAGGCAGCATATAAGTTTACTATATTATTGTTGGTTGCACAGTCAGCCAGATGTTTAGACTGGATTTGGCATTTTTATAATTAAACTACAAACAATTTCATTATTTGTAGTCACTCTGTACGATCTTGCAGCAGCCAACTAGGTGGTCCAGTGTTTCTTCAGCTTCTTTGCAGAGGAGGCATTTGATGTCTGTTGCTATCTTCTCAATTCTGGCTTTGTATGCATTTATTCTTAAGGCTTGGTCTTGTGTAGCCAGAATTAGCCCCTCTGTCTCCCCCTTCAACTTTTCTGCTCTTAGCCATTGCCAATTCTTGTTATCTGCTTTGCCTGCTAGGTTTTTTTGTGTACTGGCCATGTAATACTTTGCCTTCCATGTCTCTTTTATATTCTTCATTTGGCCTTTCTTGTAGGCCAGTTTGGTCTCTTCAGTATTCAGTAAGTTTTCATAGTGTGCTAGCTTCGTGTATTTTCTTCACTGTCCTTCAGATATTCTCCTAATGCCCTTTTTTCTTCCTCAACTGTCTGGTTGATGATGATGATGATGATGATGATGATGATGATGATGATGAGTGTGGTATCATATTAATTTCCCACAAAAACCTGTTGGCATTATTGGGAAATTAAAATTGATAGGCAACTCCCAGAAGTCATATGACCTTACAAACTGTGGGAGATAAAGTTTTCTAGGGTGGGAATATGGAAAATATCAATAAACAACTATCACATAGCACTAAGCATGAAATGTGCAGAGCAGCATTTCTATTAAGCCATAAGAAGGGCAGGAGAAAAAGGTACCAAGTTGAAACTTCAAGGGGTAGAAACAAGGTCTGTAGTCTTCTGTCAGAGGGCAATTGACTGTTTAATGTGGCTTTACTCTCAGTTTAAAATAAAAATTCATTATGAGCCATACTGTGTCAAATTTCTGGGAAATTTCAACCACATTTAGGACAGCTAAAGGAAGAAGCTTGACATAGAGCAAAGAATGGGGCTTTACTAGCAATCTGAGTGTGTCCTATATTGGTATTTGATAGATTGCCGTTATTTACAATATGAACTTCTTTAGTCTTATAGAGAATTGTAAAAAGAAAAATAGTGAATTGTTATTTTATTTCTGTTCCTTTTTAGTTTTAAGTAGTTACCAGGGGATAAACAAAGAGAAGGTTCAAACAAAAGTGGGTCCAAAACTGTTTTATTAAAGTTATCAACTGTCTTCCATGGTATATCTTTCTGCACCTTCATTTTAGTGCTAAATCAAGGAAGCACTAGTGTGCAAACTTAGTACTTAGATGCTCACTTTGATGGCCAATATATTAATTTACACATATTTATATTGACAGAACCAAATTACCCTTAATGGGAGTGTCCCACATATAGGCCGACATGTGTTTATCATACATTTTTACCAGCCAGAAAATCCAGCATTTCCAGTGCAAGTATCGGTGGATGGAGGACAACTGTGGTCAGGTAACCCGGACTTAACAATAGTTTAGATTTTTTAGGACATTTGAGTTTTCATAGATTAGATTTGTCCTCATCCCACTTCTTCTTCTACCTGTTCTAGGTTCTTATAATGCTTCATTTTGTCCACACACTTCTGGATGTCGCAGTCTGGTAATGGCAGAAAATCATATTGAATTTGATATCCTTAAACATGACATCTCAGTCACCATGAAAATACCTAATGGAAGAACAATGGTGTTGGTAGGTTTAAAAACTACTTAATTTTTAACTGAGACAGAGACCATCCAGTTACAGTTAGTTATGCTTTGGTATATCTAAAGCTTAGAACCAACTTTCCACATCTTGCCAAATGTGTTGAACTGCAATTCAGAGTTCCTAGCCATCATGGTCAGCGGGTGTGATAGCTGCAAATCTAGGTAGGGGCTTGTAATTCCACACATCTGGAGGGTACTGGATTAGAGAAATTTGACTTTGGCTATTGAAGTGTATTGCAAATGGGGCAGCCTTTGAAGATTGCTCAAAAACTATTTTGTTCAACCCATTACCATCAAGCTGCTAATTGGGATTAGGTGCTAATAACATATTTTGCTAGTTCCCAATAGCACCATTTGTTTCTAGTAGTTTTCAAACACAATTCAAAATGTTGGTATGTATTTGGACTTGGATATATATCAGAGAGGTCTTTTTCTCATTACCTGTTGAAATTCTGCATACCCCTTCAGAGACCCTGCTCAGAATATCCCTACTTTCTGAGTTGTCCTTGGCAGACTTTTCTCGATTGTGCTGCTTTTCATCTACAACTCTCTTTGACTTTTATCTTTTCATTTCTCTCACAAGGTGTAACTCTTGAAATCACTAATTGCCTCTCTATTTCTAAAGAGTACTTTTAAAAAACCCCAAATACCACACTGGGTAAAAGATTTAAAAACACCCCAACATACCATGCTGATAAAAAAATAAAGATTCTCTCAAATCAAGCTGAGTTCTTGGTTTCTATGCAGGCCAACTGATAATTGCTGCTTTATTGGTTAGAACACAATTTTCTGTGAGCAGAAATTATTACTATTCATAGAAGAGAGTGAAGTGATTCCATTTCCCTTTCAAGATTTGCCCTGGAGTAGAGGCTTCCCATTGCTGGGGGGAAGAGGGGTTGCCCAGGGAGCTGTAAGAATAAGAGAGACTAAGACAAGCCCCATTTAGAAATGGACGTTCACTCCATTCATAATTGTATAAATATTAATATAATTATATGTAACAGTGTATTCAACCTGTTGCTACAATGGATTATTGTAGACCACCCTTGACATTTTAAAATGAAAGATTGATTGTTTTGCAAGGCTTAAAAGCAACTCCAACTCAAGCCAACTCTCAGCAGCATACAATTCCCACTTCCATAATTCACGTCAAAACCAAAATTGATGAATGTAAAAACATAATTAATAGCAATCCCATTGATCCATAACAACAGCACATGAACTGGGAACATAACAGTCAATAACCCAATTTGAAAACAATGTTCCTTTCAAGAGGGAACAATCAAAACATTTCAACCCCTGAGAGCTGCTAGACAAGCCATATTTTTCTAAAAGCCAGAAGTAAAAGGGCCAGGCAAATGCTATTCCAAAGAAAAGAGGCAGTGACTGAAAAGAGATGTTCCCACAGTCTCAACAGATGGCTATCCCTGAGTGAGAGAACATGGAGAGAGCCCATCCTACTTAATATTCTTGGGTAGACAGACATTACAGGGAGAGGATGGTCCTGCAGATATCTGGCGTCTGACCTATGAAGGACTTTAAAGGTATCAACCAGCATGCGGAATGGCATCTGGAAGCCAATTGTCACCACTGACTTCAGTCACATTAAAGTGAGCCCATAATTACTATAGCTGCTTCATTCTGGACCAGCTGTATCTTTCAAATATCCTTCAAGATGAGTTCTCTGAGAAGCATATTGCAATAGTCCAAATAGAAGGTGATCAAGGAATGAGTGATTGTGAGCAAAGCCACCTGTTCCAAAAGGAATCATTTAGAATTGTTTAAAATATTGTCTTTTAAGTTTTTTACCTTTTTAGAAGTAATGCAGGTGCAATGCAAGTGCTTTTCACGCATGTGTGCACACACTTGAAATGAATGGAAATAGTCTGGAAACTGTGCTTCAATATTTTAACTTTCTAAAATGCAGTATGCAATTTAATTTTATCATTTTAAAGGAGCATATCCTAGTTGTTCCAGCACACAGCTACAGCTATACACTTCTTCATAAAGACAATGTGATTCTTTCATCGGATTTCATCAGCCAGTGCGGTGGAAACAGTTTTTACATTGAGTAAGTCACAGAATATGTATATATGTATATATATATATGTAGCACTGAAGATGTTACCTAGCCGGGTAACGAAACATTTGCAAGAAAACAACCAAGCTCAGAGAACCCCAAGGAATCCATATGTATATACGCCAAAACAAGCCATAATCCAAAGAAAGATGGATTATGCTAAAAACATACTAAATAAACATATATAAATGTGAATGCAAGTGAACATAGCGTATTTAATAGTGGTACTCACATGTGCTTTCCTTCCATCCCTCTGTTTAACAGTCCTGGCAATTCCTCAGAATTTTGCCGAAATTCAGCTCAATCACTTGTGGCTGCCTTTAATGATGGGGCGCTGCCATGCAACTGTCACAGAATTGGTGCTACCAGTCCTACTTGCAACCCTGAGGGGGGACAGTGTGACTGCAAGCCACACATCATTGGTCGCCAATGTGGCAGGTGCCAAACAGGCTACTATGGATTTCCCTTCTGCAAAGGTAAGTAACCATTCCAAAAGATATCTGCTTTTCACAATGTTACCCAAAGAGCTGAATATTTTATTCTGTACTTGATTTCATTCTCAGTTTAAGAATTTTCTTCAGAGTTATTCATTAAAATGCTTTGTTTGCTGTCTTGCATGTAAAGAATCACAGGCCAAGAAGGCTGCCCGGCTGTGGAAAATATTCATTCATATCTCAGCTTCTTAAACTGAGATATGATCATCCAGATACAATCAAGTGTTTGAGATTTATCTCTGATGTATTATTTCTTGTTCCATTATGTTAAACAGCTTTTGCAGTTATTTACATAACAATGGGGGTGAGGGAAGCCATGTATTTGATAAAAATGACTACTACTTGTTGAGCATATGTATGTTTGAATCAAGTTTTAATTTTTTGAAAAGAATTAATTTTGGAATGGGACAAAATAAATTCCAGTGGACTTTTGTTCCAACAAGAGTAATTTACATAATTCTAATATTCCTTGAATACAAAATGATTTGTATTCTTGTTCCCAGCCTGCAGATGTGGAAGGCACCTTTGTGATGACATAACTGGGAAATGTATTTGTCCCCCACAAACAGTTAAGCCTAGATGTGAAGTGTGTGTGAGGTTGCATTTTGGATACCATCCACTTACTGGCTGTGAAAAGTGCAATTGCTCAAGCAAAGGAGTTATCAATGCTATGAATCCTGAATGTAATAAAACTGATGGGCAGTGCAAGTAAGTGTGCATTAATGGGTTGTATTTCTATGATAGAATTAATCTTTTTTTTTTTTTGCACAGGAGAATGCTATAGTTAAAATACTGGACTTGGGAGTTCACTTGATTAATTTGGGCGAATCCCTTAATCTCGGCCCAACCTACGTCACAGGATTTTTGAGAATGGTTTGCCAGGGACTTCATGCTGGCTGGGGAATTCTGGGAGTTGAAGTCCACTCATCTTAAAGTGGCCAAGTTTGGACAACACTGGTCTAGTGGCTAAGGTGCCAGATTAGAAATTGGGAGACTGTGAGTTCTAGCCCTGCCTTAGGCATCCAACCAGTTGGGTGCCCTTGGGCCAGTCACTCTCTCTCAGCCCTAGGGAGAAGTTGAGGGCAAACTACTTCCGAAAATGCTACCAAGAAAAAACTGCAGGGACTAGTCCAGGCTGTTGCTAGGAATCAGCACTGATTTGAAGGCACACAAATACATAAATGTAATCATTATTCCCCAAGTATTTAATGCGTCTGTTCTCTGCTAACTGGCAGTGGCAGTCCATGATTTCAGAGAAGAGGGTTTTTAGCCTTGTTTGGGATTGGGGTTTGTACTTGAGATGTTCTGCATGAAACATGAGCTCTGTTGCTGGGCCACAGCTCTTAAAGACTGTGGCTGTTGACTGGCTGGGCAGCCTAACAGTAAAGCCATTGAGCCAGGTCTGCTCCCTTTCCATTGTTCAGCAGCAAAAGTATTTTACTTCCCAGAGGTAGTACCATATCAGTTACTGCTCTGCCATGCAATGAATGGGGCAACTTTGGAACAGTTAGCTATTTTTGCAGGCCATTTTGTCAGGACATGATTAGTAGCTGATTCCATCTACTAATCTATCCAGCTACCTACATGTCTGTCTATACATATATCCCCCTGACAGTCTCTAGCTCAGTGTTTCTCAACCTTGGCAACTTTAAGACATATGGACTTCAGCTCCCAGAATTCCCTGCCATGCTGCTGGGGAATTCTGGGAGTTGAAGTCCAGACTCAGTTAAAGTTGTCAAGGTTGAGAAACTTTGCTCTAGCTACAGTATATCCTTAGGGGCAAAACATCTGTGCTTTAGCATATTGCTATACTCCTGTTATAAAAAGCATTGGACTGCTGTAATTCTAAAGCTGATAGTGTTCCATATGCAGTAACTTTTTTATAGTAGGGAGCTCCATGTTGACTTTGGAACTGAAGAACAGAATCCTTTACCCTGTACTAATTAGTAATTATGTATAATTGTGTAAGAACTTTCCCTTACAAGGGTTTGTTTTAAATTGAAGAATGGCACACAATTTTATTGAAGAACAAATTGCTTATTTCATTATTGGGGGCAGCAAGGCTGACCTAAAAAGGGGCAAGGATGCAACCCTTCCATATAGAGTTATGCAAATTAGAACATAAATGTGATTGGCTACAGCAGCAATGTATTTTATTGGATATAGCAGCATATCAGGTGTTTAGTCAGTTTGGGCCAAACTATGAGATGGGGATAGAACTACAAAGACAATGAGTAATTTGTGAACATAGTTTCTTTCTTGAGAGTTATTGCTATGGGGTTTAATCTTAATCTATCCTTGGTTTCCAAAGCATTCCTAGTAGCTTTTCCATCAACATTCTTGATCTTTCTAAATATTTTATGGCTGAGCTGACAATTGATTTTCCCTGAGAAAGTGTATTTGGAAAGGGGGCGATGTGCTTGTCTACGTCATTTTCCAGGCTACCTAATTATTTAAATTAGTGTTAAGCTAAATCAGTAATATTTAAATCAGTGTTAAGTTAAGTCTGCAATCTTTATATTCCCAAGTTATAATATTTTATTTTTGTTGCATCAAAACTTAGTATCCAGTATATCTTTATGGTACTCGCTTTCAAATAATTTAGAATGGAGAAATTGCATTGAAGTCTTTCGATACAACACAAAAATGATAAATCATAGATCTCCAGCATCATGTCTGTTTTTGGTCTTTGGCATAGAAAGTAAAAGAAACTTTACTAGCCACTGGAAAAGAAATATAAAATGTCATATCTAGCAAGATCATCTTTTTAAGGAATGAGGATCCACTCAGGATCTGCGACAGGTTTATCTTTTTTTCTAGCCTTAATTAGCCTTGCATCTGCTATTCTATCATATAAAATCTGTGTTATACACTGATCTGATCTCCTGAAAGAAAAGCTTTTTCAGAAATGATTTTTGGCCTTTGTTTTGTTGTTTAAGATGTCGCTCAGGAATAGCAGGGCGGCAGTGTGATCACTGTGCCCCTGGTTCTTATGGCTTTCCCAACTGCAAACCTTGTAAATGTAACAGAGGAGGAACAGAACCAGATATCTGCAATCCACAAACAGGACTTTGTCTCTGTAAGGTCAGATGCTTTCACATTTCAAAGTTTGTATGATTATTTTATGTGTTCATCCTTATTTAACTGGAAATAATTCTCATTGTCATAATTACTTAAAAATACAGTAATATATCTAGACATCTATATCTCTGTACAAGGTTTAGTACAGTACATTGTGTAAATCTAATAAGGTGTCAGAAGGAAACATAGGAGAACATGGTTGATTTTTGTGCACAGATTGTATCTCAGCCCTTCAACTGAATTTAATAGAAGAAGTGTGGAAGACTGAACTATTAAGAAGAGGTTGAACAGATTTATTTATAGATTCTCCACTATTGTAAACAAAGTAATGCTAGGACATCCCATAGGCATTGACCAGGCCATACCTCTGCTTTTCCAGCAGTGCATGTACCTTGTCCAACCTATTTTGTCAATTGAATAAAGGGAAATAAGTTACAACATTCACTCTAGTTACCTACTTCATTGCTAGATCCAATAGTGGAGGTTGACTGAGTGTAGAATTAGGTTTGTGGGAATTGGCCAATATTATTCAGTTGTGATCCCACATTTTAATATCACTTCTCAAATATATGAATTGTTGACTTGATGCCCTAACAAGTGTCAAAATGTCATAGCGTTTCCAGAAATACATTCCAAGAGTTACAGTGAATAGTGCTTAATTTGTAGTTAGTAATATGATTAATGGTTCGGTATCACTCAGCACCACATTTATTTCTCATTATCAGCATACCTTGTCTACTTGTTTTAAATCAAAAAGACTCCTGATGGATACAGCATCAATTTTCTTCCTCTACCAATCAATTTCTTCATCTGCGTGAAGAAATTCTACTACGAGGCAATTTATTTTCCTTTTGGATTCCTGCATCTGTAGTGATATAGTCAGAATCAAAGCAAAATGCTCAAGTTCACAATCACACAAATGCTGTGGTATTATTAATGCTATCGGCGGCTTCTTCACAACAGTCTTTATAGTCTACATTTTTGGCTAGGAATGCAGGAGGGCTTCAGTCTTTGTAAATGTTCACATTAATTGAATGATCTGTCCTTCCTGTACTAAAGAGAGGAGGAGAATGTAATTACTAGTTTTCATGATTTTTCAGGCAGAGTTCTCAGTTAAAAAAGCATCTGAGAATATATTTAGAAATATGTCTCTTGAGAAATATGTTAGAAGGGCTTATTTACATGCAAATGTTATGTTTTTTTTTAAAAAAAAAATACCTGTAAGATAATATGGAAAAAGAATAGAATAGACTTATGGATGCATTCATGCCAAAGTAGCACAGATCGAAAACAGATTTTCAGTTTCTTATGATTTGATCAAGAATATTGTGTGCACTCAGCGTGAATCATCTAGTGACTAACAGCAATAACATTTGTGTCAACAGACTTCAAACATGTCTGTCTGGAAGGCCCCTTATTTAAACCGACAGCTGCATAATGATGGTGGCTATGGCTGTTATGTACTGAAGAGGCAAACCACTGACTTAAAATTCTCCTTGCAAAAGGAGATAATTTCACTGTCATGTGTGCTACTGAGTACTGAAAGACCATAGACAAACTGCCTTGTTTTCTCTGTATTACTGCAAAGTTTTATGTGGAAACATTTAATGACTTATTCCAACTGGCTTGTAGGGGAATGTTGAAGGTGTGCAATGTGACATGTGCCGTTCAGGATCGTTTTATCTGGACCCTGCTAATCCCAAAGGCTGCACTGCTTGCTTTTGTTTTGGAGCAACCAATATTTGCCACAGTACAAATAAAAGTAGAGTCAAGGTATATTTACTATGTTTTTTTTTCCTTTGGAGGAGACTACTAGACCAGATAGTCCAATATCTGTGATTAGAATTTTGCTTTGTATGTTAAAAGCAGTGATGTAGTTGAGGCTCAAATGAGCAGCAGATCATAGATTGCAGGGCGACAAAGGGATTTAACTGGCTGCGCACAAATCAGTGGTGGCTTTCCAGGGTCCTAAACTGCCCTGTTCCTAAAGCAGCTATTCATCCCAAGAGAGAAACTTACAATAACATTATGTTTAACCTTTAAAAAAAGCATGGCAGAAAGGCTTTTAGCAATCCTTAATAGTGTTCTCTTTTCTCTCTTTGTGCTGAGGATTTTAAGATGCATTTTCCCCTTTCCTGTGTCTTTATGTCATTGCTGTTCCTTAGAATTGTTAAAGTCATTTCCTTCCTGATAAGTTTAAAGCTGTTGTTTTTTCTTTAGCTTTCAGTGGTCTTTGCAAAAACAGGTTGGCTTGTTTGTTTGCATGAGTAGAAGTGTAACATCTGGTCACAGTTGCAATGCCCAGATTGTACTTTTAGTTATCCCAGAGACCAACATCTCTCTGGAAATTTCCCTGTCTCTCCAGAAAAGCTCCTCACTTGTGAATCAGGGCAGTTGGCTTTCCAGCTCTTATTCCATGTTGCTGGGTAACCTGCAGAAGGAGTTAGTGAAATGTATTATGTGACATTCTCCTCTTGATTAGTAAGCTCTGTGCCACTGAGATTATGATACGACTTGTTTCTTGATGAGTGGACAATTTCAGTTCTGTGATGTTGGTTGCAAATCTCCATGGGTAATTATGCACAGCTAGGATGAGATATTTTGTGATGGCAAGAAAAATGTACAGCTTTTGTTCATGTCAAGGAATCAGAAAACCTTCTCACATAAGCCAAAGGAGGAAAAGTTTCTACCAGATACCACTCCATCGTACAAATTAACTTTTCTATTGTGGGAAGACCTGAGTTCAAAACAGAAACTCATTTTGTGCCTCTTCTCTGATTTGCCATTAGTCCACCAATATGAGAAACTGGCATCTGGAAGCAGTGGGTAATGTCATGCATATCCCTACAACTTTCAATCCGGTTAGCAACAGTGTTGTTGCTGATGTCCAAGAATTACCCCCCTTTCTGCATGATTTGTACTGGGTGGCACCATCATCTTACTTGGGGAATAAGGTACATGATGTTTTCTATATTACCTTTTAAAATTCTCCTATATCAGTTCCAAAGACTATTTCCTCTTGTCCTCTTGTATTCTATTATAACATCCAGGTGCAGACTGGGTTCCCATGGCAGGCTATAAAGCATAGTTTATGAATTATAGTAGCTGGATTCATACAACATGCTAAGCCAGAACCAAACAAATCATAGTATCACTTAGAACAATGTGAATTTAGGCATAGTCAGTTTCTAGCAAGTAACAATCTGGTACATCAATAAAGAGGCTTTTAATGACAAAGGTTTTTCCTTTTCTTGGCCTCTTTGTACCTATGTTGGAAATGCCATTGAGGATATTGCAATTTTAAGACTAAAAATCAGAATTATTTTAAAGTGTAATAACCAATTTCTGTATTTCCTGAAATATATTATTTAGCTTTCTTCATATGGAGGATATTTGAGCTATCAGTTGAAATCCTTTGGCTTACCTAGTGAAGGCATGACTCTCCTGGAAAAAAGACCAGATGTGCAGCTAATTGTAAGTCAAATGATATATGTAAATCTGGATGCATCATCTTAGCTTTAAAGAATTTTTACTACTTATTCATATATAGTTGACCTTCAAGTATATCTGAAGAGAGATTGGAAGCTGGCTTGCCTTTATATGTTTTCTGTGCTTATATGGTTGCTTACTGCACAGCCTCTGTGTGGGAGTATGAAAGCCTGAGAGGTCTTTATCTGAATATGCCATTTTGATGACTCTGAACTTGTTAAGATAATTATAATAAGGTTCCTTTAAGGAGTGTGTCATTGGAGTAGTACACATCTC